CGTCCATCCAATCTCGTTACAGTTTTTTTTTTTTTTTTTTTTTTTTTCTATATATGTATTATGTTAAGAGTTTATGTGTATTATGTTAAGAGTTCATTTGTATTATGTTAAGAGTTTATGTGTATTATGTTAAGAGTTTATGTGTATTATGTATTATGTTAGATTATGTATATTATGTTAAGAGTTTATGTGTATTCTACTATATAATTCTGTACATACGAAACAGAGAATTTTTTAGAGCACACAATGCATTGTGGGCCCTGGTGCACGATATAACAATTGTTTATATAGTAAATGGTTGAATATATGTATTCAGACATGTCTACTAAAAGCATAAATAATATTTTGGTGTTGTGGAGTTGAAAATATTATTTATGTTTGGTAGGAAGCTTATGATTTGATTGATCAAAAAATGCTTTAGAGAAGTTGTTTTAAGAGAGGTTGTTCAGAGATGTTGTTTTAGAGAAGTTGGGTTTACTACTCTTGAGTTTACTCCTCTTGGTTTTACTTCTCTTGAATTTTACTTCTCTTGGGTTTCACTCTTTGGAAGTTGACTTCTCGGGAGGTTAGTCTTCGAATGACTTCTCAGATTGCCACAAGTTGTAATTATTATATTTAATAATATAATGAACTCCTGCTCGGTTATACAATAATTTAAATATTAAATTTAAATTATTGTTATCATTATGAATATAATGATAGTGAGAGTTACAAAAAGCTTCCAATTAATTTCTTCATTAATCTGACATTTAAGAGAATTGAAGAAATGATGTCTAATGGTGGATATAAATATTAGAGAAAATTTCAATTTTGGTCCACTGACTATTGCACTTGTGTTAATTGTAACACTTGACTTTCAAAAATGTTAATTTATTACCTTGACTATGCAATTTCTATCAATTTTGGTCACGCCGGCCAAATTGCCGGCCAAATCTCACCGGAAAAACTTAAACATTTTTAAATTTTTTATTCAGGGGGGCAAAACAGTCATTTTCCGTTAAAAAAATTAAAAAATTATTTGCTTCTTCTTCTTCCTCGTAGACACCACCCATTCTCAATTGAAGCTGGAATCCCATGCTTGCTAAATAAAGCCCACCAACCCAACAAGAAAACAACAAGTTCAATCCCACCAAATGCAAAACAAAACGAGTACAGATAAATCCATCTCAGCTTTCTAGGTTTCTCTTCGTACATTGAAGGAGAACCAACAAGAACTTCTGCTGCATCTTCTGGACATACCAAGTTAGAACGGTTGAGAATCACGATACCTGCATATTCTGGCACTGGTAAATCTCTGGGGAGTTTTATAAATATACTTCCTGGAAAATCTGGAGATCTGTAGCCATTAAAAAGGGTGCTTTTGGTGAAACATTTTCCCTCCCCATTTCGCCTGTAGCTAAACGCTACACACCTCCGATCCTCTAAACACAATTTCCTGCAGTCTTCCAGGGAGAAAGGCTGAGTATAATTGAGATCAAATCCGCAGTAATCCACCTGAGGAATCTCCAAGAACTTGACTGGCAGAGTTACTAAAGTTGTTTTATTAAACAAAGCCTTGCTGCCTCCGCTCCAATCACTGGAATTGCTAAACACATACCCTGGAGGACATGAACACTTGGGCTCTGGACCATAATTACAAATACCATTTCTTCCACAGATTCCATGTACCCCACATGGCTGTTGAAGAGTTTGCCAGGTTACCGTTCACTCCCCAGTTGAATCATCCAAGCTGTATATTCTGAGGTTCCCATCAATATCCATTGTTATCCTCCTCTTCAACTCCCTTCCTATCTTGTCTGTGTGAATGGAAAACGTCTTTCCGGCAGAGAGTTGGCCGTCCTGCAAAGCTGCCCACATCCACCGAAGAAGATGAAGCCTGGGAGGTACTGGGAATCCATTGTGAACGCCGGCGACGAGGAGGGGAAAGATGTCGGAGAAGAGAAGGAAGCCCAAAGGATGTTTAAATAACATGAAATGACACTTTTGCCCTTTTTATTTAATGAGTTAAGTTTTTCCGGTAAGATTTGGCCGGCAATTTTGAGATTTGGCCGGTAATTTGGCCGGCGTGACCAAAATTGATAGAAATTGCATAGTCAATGTACTAAATTAACATTTTTGAAAGTCAAGTGTTGCAATTAACACAAGTGCAATAGTCAGTGGACCAAAATTGAAATTTTCTCTAAATATTATCTAGCTTCCATCAAGTTGCCAATATACGTTTTTGTGTGTACTCTTTGCTCTTGACTAAGTAACTGCAGTACTTACAAAAGAATGATTTCTAAGACAAAAATCTCAAGTTACACCATTGGTGAACTTTTTAGAAAAGCAACCTAAAACGTTTGGCATTCGATCTTCTTGTATCTCACGCTTGAAGATTGTGCAGATATCAAACTATCCGCAATAGAGATAGACTGTACTTATGATTCTTTACAATGTAGTATCCGTTATATACTTTCTCAAACATTTTTTCAGCTTAAAGAATCTCCACTTGGATGGATAACTGTGATGCTATCACACTACATAGTAGTTGGCAATGCAAATCCAATCTAATACTTGAAAAAGTTACTTATTATTGTAAAACTAAGGTCATAATCTTTGTTGAGCAGAAAGAGAAAAGAGGGAGAAAAGAGCAAGAAATTAAGCATAAAATATTAGTTGAAAGTGAAGTTATAAATGAGATGAGAGGAGCAGAGGAGGGGGTGAGGACCACCTGAAATGGGTGCAACATAACTTCATCATATATGTATGCCCAAACCACAATTTATTAGCACATAGTAAATGCCCACACATACAGCAATTGCAGCTTTTGAAACAAACACAGATATATATATATGCTTAGTAAAAGCCACTCTTTTTGGACACACTCTCACACACCAAACATCCCCACTTGCTGCTCAACACACACACATCACATCTATACAACATCCTGTCCTAAGATATCTACTCTCCCCAACATCCTTAACCCCCCAACCCCACCCCCAACCCCAACCCAACCTCTTTGTACCCAGTTAAATATCATAATTACACTTTGTGTTGGTTGTGATGTAGGCCATATTCATCAAAATAATTTGTAAATAAAATATACGCGGTTATTAGTTGGTTGGAGTAATTAATATCAACGTTATCATGATAATAATAATAATGAAACAGTACAGTTTCGATGAATTCATAACGGGACAATGGTTGTAGGGACGTGGAGCTTGACGAGAGCAACTCATTGATCGCTCTGAAGAAGGTGGAGGAATGGGATCGGAGTCTGAGAGATCCGTATTTACATATTATTACTTAATTAAGTATCCTAGGAGGTATCTTAAGCATAACATTTTTTTTTCTTTCCATCCAACTCATCACCCATTCTAGGACCATGTTTTCTCAGCCTCACATGTAACATCTATCTATAAAAAAGAAAAGAAAAGAAAATGGTGTCTCCAATTCCACCAATCTCCTTCCATTGTGGCATTGTGCAGTCCAGCTTCAAACAGAAAAACAAAAATCAAGAAAACATACAAAAAACCATAAAATGGGACAGATAAAAGACAGACAGGGAGGGTGGGGGGTTAGAATTCCAGCTCAATAGTCTTCCTCCCATTTATGCACCATTCATTGGTCATTACAGCTATAAATGATCCAAAATAGTACACTCCTAAGTCCTAACAAATAGCAAAAAAATAAAACTAAATTGCAATAACATTTGTATAATATTGAAATGATTTTTAATACTTTATGATTGTACTTAATAAATCCCTAATAATTATTTTGGTAATGAATCATTCCAATAATACATGTTATAATCATGTGAAATACCGAATAATTATTTGCCGCCTCAATAAGAGTGGAACATGAATGTCGTACTTGAATGTTACAAATTTAAATTTTACCAGCACTCTCTCAGTTGAGCTTGTGGTACAGGATTTTCCTAGTACGGTTTACTTGGAATGTGTAATTTGCAAGCTATTATACAGGAACGGATTCACTCAATGTACACCCTCAGATAGTGATTGCTGATTTTACTAAAAAAAAGTCGTATTCGAGTGAGTGGAGCATGATTATCGTACCTAGCTAGATGATCACAAGTTGGAATGTTGCCAACACTGTACCCTCATGATCGAATCCATCCCACAAGGTCTTTAATTTTATCCAGTACACAACATTGTGTAGTGGTTGTATATTCCCTCGTCACCTAATATTGTACACATAACCTAATATTGTACACATAACACACTTGGTACCACAATATTATAGGATACCATTCTAATACAACCAACTATGGCACATGATTATTGTACTTAATATTATTGAAACGATTTTCAATGGTACTAGGTAGTAGGTAGTATGAGATGATATACACAAATTTCATTGTGTTATGTGTGGACGGTGTATAGAATTTTTCTTCTCCGCAAAGGTTGAATCCCTAACCTCAAGGGCCCCCTACACTCCGGCCTGATAGAGCATTTGAGAGAATGTAATCAGTGACTCAATAGCTCAGCAGACAAGGCCAAATGTCGGTGGGCACAAGGGATCTACCCACTTTGCGCATAATCCCCATATTGCAGTTGCTGAAATTTGAACTTTGTTCTCCGTTTCCAAATATGGATTACTGAACCATTGAGCTAATCCCGTACAGGCAAGTGTATAGAATTTTCCTATAATTATATTATTACCTACAAGAAAAAAGAAACAGATATTTTTGTTTGTGATATTAAATCTAATTAAATTATTAACACTTATACAGCCTCATATATGCCAGTAGGACTAGTTTGGTGGTGTCTGAATTGGTGAGCTGTGATGGATCTGTGTTACAAGGAAGAGTCTCATTCCATTGAGTAAAAATAGTAATACCCATCTTTTCTTTCCAGGTCATATGGCCAAAAAGGAGGCAAAAAGGCACAAACAGTCATTACAAATATTATAAAAAAGACTCTGAAATGATTGAGTAATATAGCCAGTAAGCCATCCACTTTTGTTTTTTTTTTTTTTTTTAAATTATTTCTTAACACACTTTTTTTTATCTCTCCCAATAATGTTGTCTGTCCAGTAAATGTCAGTTTTCCTCCCAACATTACACATAGAATGATAGATCCTATCCTAGTAAACACCAAACTTTTCACAACATTCAGTTAATGCAATTGATATCAGCATAGGATCTCTCCTTTTTCCCCTTTTCTTGTTTTTTCCAAAAACATTAACCAAATTCACATTTAGATTTTAGACCGACATCTTACGTTAGACTAATCCTGAGTCCCCAGAATTCCTGTTCAAAAATTGCTGGAAAAGATAAATCGCGAGTCGCCCAAGCAGCCTTCTGGTCCGTCATAAAGTGTATGATGGTGAAAAGAAATGGAGTTTGGTGCTGAGCTGTCGGCTGGGGAGAGAATCTTGAATTACTCTCTTTGGGTGTCTGAATTAGAATGAAATTTGTCATATTTTTCACCTGATAGATATATTCTATGGAGAGTACTTTGTACAAAATTCTGAGCTCCCATCATCTTTGTTGTGTCATGCTAGCTCCCACTGCCTTTCTGCATCTGGGAATCTCAAAGTACTCTTGAGGGAACATCCGAAGCATAGATTAGTGTGCTGCGAAAAACCCGAGGAGTGACATCAGATCATCAGGATGAGAGTTTGATTATATTGATTTCTTGTTGTTGTTTGGGGAATAAAAAAGAAAGATTCTTAATTCAAGAATTGGGATTCCCAGAGTTCAGTGATTAGCATTGTTCCAACAAGCCATTTCAGAGGTTTTTTGGGATCTTTAATGTACTAGAAACTCCACAAGAAGCCATGTTGTACCTGGGATTCTCCAATCCAGAGGACCACCACAGCACTTGGGTGTTTTCTTTTGAATAATTATTGAAGCTCAGCTCAAGTACTTTCACTTATTGGGGGGCTCTGATCTTCAGCATTTGTGTCCAAATTGAATATATATATAATATAATACTTTTCATGTGTGGATATATAGTTCAATGTTCATCATCAGGCCAGTAGAAGTAGCTCAAGAAACCGATGATTTCTTCGATGGAAAGTTCAGTTGCAGCGGTAGCTGGAGGCGTCGGGGGAGCGTTAGTCCTGTTGGGAGTGATACTTTTTGTGTGTTTTTGTATGTTTCACTATAAGAGATACTCAAACAGGAATTCAGACACAGCTTCCTCAGATCCATCTGCAGTAGGTATGTTTGTCTGTGTTTTTCGATCTCATGTTTCACACACAAAAACAACAACATAGTCCAAAACCTAAGTGTTTTTCTGCTAAATTTCCAAGCATTACAGTGGAGCAAAAGAGGGAAGGAGGGTCGTCGGGCTCATCCCAAGCGACGACGAATCCAAGGCTGTTTAGGATGAAAGAATTGGAGCATGCCACCCGACATTTCGATGAGGCTAACCTCATTGGCTATGGCAGCTTTGGTCTGGTGTTTAAAGGCCTTCTTTACGATGGAACCATCGTCGCTATCAAGAGGCGCTCGGGTGCTCCCCGCCCCGAGTTTAGTGATGAGGTACATTATATTATGGTCCTGTTTGGTAAATAGCTGTTAGATGATTGCGTTAGAGCGTATGAATTGTAAAAATATGTTTGGTAAATTAGCTGTTTGGTATAATTTCTTAGCTGCATTTCCCCGAGATCGCATTCTAGGCCTAAATTCGTGTCGTTGGTAACAGGTGGCTCATCTGCCTATGGTACAACATAGGAATGTGGTTAACATTCTTGGATACTGCCAAGAGAATGGCTACCAAATGCTCGTTTTCGAGTATTTGCCAAATGGAAGTGTCTGCAGCCATTTGTATGGTAGGATTAGCTTTAATTAAGTCATGGATTCTGTATCTTGCACCACTATATGTCAAATGATCAGATTGGTTTTTGATCAGGAAGGGATTCGACAACGAAGCTGGAATTCAAGCAGAGGCTTTCGATTGCTACTGGTGCAGCTAAAGGTATTATATGATCATGTTGTCATATATTCTGCAAAGGAAACAACATGGGATATGATCATGTTTCACAAGAATGTTTGTTTATAGGTTTGTTTCATTTGCACGCCCAACGCCCCCCGGTTATCCATGGCAACTTCAACACGGCTAACGTGCTGGTCGATGAGAATTTCATTGCCAAAGTTGCAGATGCAGGGGTGTCTAGGCTGCTAGAGAAGATAGATGATGCAGGGCCATCTGAGGAGTCGTCGAGCCGGGCAAGCGTGTTTAGAGATCCAGAGTAAACCACACCCTATCTGCATTTCATTTTTGTGCCTAGAAATCGTTTAGCCTGAATTCTGGTGTTTATCAGGGCGGATCAGAACGGGGAAGGGAGCGATGTTTACAGCTTCGGGGTGTTCCTGTGGGAGCTGATAACTGGAAGAGAGGCTTCACATATAGATGGCTTGGGATCAAATGAGAGTATGCTTCATTGGGTAAGTAAAAGAGTTTCTTGATTGGATATTTTTTAGTAATAGTTCAAGATTTCATGAACCAAAACTTAGCATGGAGTATATAAATGAAGTAATCCTATTTAGTATCTTTTTGACCATCAAGAATGCCATATATATTGCATTGGAGTTAATTCCATTTTTGTTCTTAGATTTATAGGTGTTCAGTTCACTTTTAGTCAATTTTTTTCAAAACATCCATTTTGGTCTTAATATTATTGTGACATAACCATTTTTTTGTCCCCCGTCAACAAAATGTTTAAATGGCATTGAATACAAAGACATTTCGGTCTATTTAGTTTCAAGTGTTAATTCGTTTTCCTTTTTTGGTTCTAGATTTATATATGGCATACCATTTTTAGTTCTTTTTTTTAGAACATCCATGTTGGCCCTAGCATTATTGTCTCTAGTTCACAAGACAAATATGTTTAAATGTCATAAATGCTAGAAGCAATAATGCTAGGACCAACAGGGATGTTCTGAAGAAAAAAAAAAATTAAAAGTGAAATGATACATATAAATCTAGGATAAAAAAAATAATTAATACTTAGAATTGAATAGACCGAAATGTCGTCATTGTATTTAAATGATTTTGTTGACGAAAAATTAAAAATGGTAATACCACAATAATACTAGGACTCAAGAGGAATGTTTTGCCAAAAAGAAAAATGAAATTAGCTCATTTGCATTGTTTGCTATCATTTTAGTGATTGATTACACATTTAAATTATACACTTCTTCAACATTTCATATACCTTCTCAACCTACTGAAACACAAAGAACCAAAAAAACCAATAACGCCTCCACGTTCATATACTTTCTTAACCTACTGAAACACAAAGAACCAATAACGCCTCCACTAAGGCTTGAACTCATAATCTTCCAAATAGAAGTCCAACCCGAGTACCATTAGACCACATAGTCCTGGTGAATATGAATAAATAAGAGTTATTTGTCTTATCATGCGAGAATGCAAGACATTTCACTTGATATGACAACAGTAAACTCAATAATTAACCCATAAAAGGAATAATTATTTGTCTTGTCGAGCTAGACATCTCACTTGACATGAGATAGACATCTTATCTTTTTTTTTTTCTTTTTTATCTTTTTTTTTTTTAAGTACTATTAATCCTGTTATATGTAATATTTGTTCTTCTCAACCTACTAAAACTCAACGAGTTAATACCGTCTCCACTGAAAAGAGTCACTTCATATCGCATCTTGTAAGCTACATTTCAACGGTTATTAGAATCTAAACAAATAAATAAGAGTTGTTTATTTGTCAAATTGTTGATTTTTAACTAAAAGTTATAAGTTCTATTAGTTCTATTAGTCTTCTTGGTTTGAGATGCTTCAATCCACTATGAATAATCTAAAGTGGTTTAACTCTTTTGATCCGACTAAGATTACAAGACGATGTTTACCTAATGTTTCAAAATGCTAAAATTCAAAAAGTTGCTCAAAGTAGTTTTTTTATCAAATTTTTAAAAAAAGTCATTTTGCATGTAATCAGCTATCAGCTAAAAGTTAATTTATTAAATATTTTTTTACAATCAACTAATGATATCAACTAGTCAAACCCACTATTTACCAAACACTGTACCCCATTTGTTTTGAAAGATGGAAGTGCATCTTAACGAGGATGATTTGGTGGATGAGCGGCTGAAGGGGAGCTTCACGGCGGAGGGGATGGGGGATTTCATTAGGCTAGCGCTGAGATGCACCGGCTTTCCAAGAAAAGAGCGGCCGGCGATGGAAGCGGCGGTGGCGGAGCTGGAGACAATACTGGACAAGGAGATCAAGCGCACAACTGTCATGGGAGAAGAGGGCACTGCCACCGTTACTCTTGGAAGCCAACTCTTTACAAAATAAAATTAATAATTGTTTAATTTATTTCAGTAGTACTAGGAATATATTATATTATATTATTGGTGCCATCCATTTCATTTTTCTTTACATTATTTTAAGGTTTTCATAATGTTATTGTTGCCGTATTCGGTGGGCGGGTTTGAAGGAACAATCTCCTTCTATTCCCGTTATTTTATGATCATATTTTTTCTCTCCGAGTGAAAGGAAAGTGGTATTAATCAATTGTGTTTTACTATCTATGTGCACTTTTCTACACTTCAGCGAGGGAATTAGTTATTGTGATAATTATATTCATTATTGCACTTGTGAATGTTCATTTCAATTCCCTTTTGAGTTTTGAGTGATGAAGAAAATTTATAGTCTCTATTAAGACTTTTTTTTTTTTTTTTTTGGAGTTTTGAACTTGTATACTCTTAATTGATTCATAAACATAACAATAATCATTGTGTTTGAACTAAAAATTCATCGTGTCAATTCAAATTGAATGTTTATTAGTAACATTTGAACTAACTGTTCATCCACATGAGTTACCAACTAGAAAATTGTTCTATACCTTGACAAATGGCTTCATCTATTTGGAAATCAGAATGACTTTTGAAAATGAGTTATTTTTTTACAAAATATTTTTCTTTCTAGTGTTTTGTTGTATTTTAAAAAACTGTATCGATGTATTTGATTCATTTTTCATAAAATGAGTAGAATTGTATAATTAAACATTTACATTTTAAATATTCTAGACTCTGATGGGATTATCTACGCAGCTGCAATTCTTTATCATCTATGGAGGGTGCGAAATGGAGCAGTATGGGATGCATGCTTACCACTCCCAAAAAGGGTGGTAGCTATGGCCGAAGCCACCATGCGCACATGGCGACAAGTCCACGCCAATGCACCAAACAGAGCACTACCCGCCCCAACTGTTACCGGTACTGCCCAACGCAGCATACCCGAGCCGCTACCACCGCCTGCTGCCGACGCAACCCAGATTGCTCGAGCTACTCCACTACTGCCGGGAGCAGCACGCCACACCGTCCAGCAAAATCCGGAGCCGCCGCCACTACCTCATGGTTCTACACAACGGCCGAGCAAGTGTTATGTCGTCGCAGGCTACCATCATGAGACAAACTCAGCTACGGTAGGAGCATTACTCATGGACGCGGACGGTCGTTTTGTTTCAGCGTACAGCGCGCCCTTACCTCATTGCTTCTCCCCACTTATGGCCGAGGCATATGCATGTAAGGAGGCCCTGTCTATGGTTGCGTACGCGTGGAGAACAGTCTATTGAGCTCTATACAGATTGTCAGACTCTTCAGAGTTCTTTGTCTTCAGCAGGTCCGCCGCCACGATCATATATTGGCTATGCTATTGATGGATGCAGACACTACATATCTACCTTTGCATTTTGCCATATTAATTTCATTCCTAGATTGCAGAATTATTTAGCGCACAGTTTAGCTTCTACAGCATTTGAGTACAATACGGCTATGCATTAGGACATTGTCCTGCCTGACTCTATTTCAGTTTATCTATAAATACAACTCTATTGGCTGACCTTAAAAAAAAACATTTAAGTTGTTCTTATGAAGTTGGAATTCTAAAATAATGCCCACATTTTATGTCTGGTACATCCAAAATGCTTGTTTATTTTTGTAAAATAAATAATTTGTGTAAAGCTTGGTAGGCTCTTGTATAAATAGTGGTGTAAACCCACTTCCCAAATCAATGTGGGACAAAAGCTTCTTCAAAACCTTTTCCCTTCACTTTTCCAACTCAAATGGATCTACTTTGAGAATCAATTCCTCATTCACCCGGCCATTATCCGTTTTGAGCGTACAATAAATCAATCTCTTCGTCTCACTACGAAGAACCCGAATCCACTTTGACCCGACCCTAATCGGATGTGGACCCCACTATTAATTGTATCACAAAATAGCCACTTATTATGTAATTTTATGTCATTTTAAACTATTTTTTCCAACACATAATATTATCTTTTAGTATTTACTCTACTCATGTTATTAGGGATAACAATAGGAATGTAGGTACCTATATGTTTTAGTCATTTTCAAATGTGAATCTAAATACATTTTTTTTTAAATTATCAAATTAATTACAAATGAATATATATTGCATATACCCATTCCAAACTTGATTGACACTACAATATAGTACTTGAATCATCTTGAAACCTACTATACACACTCAAATGACACAATCGGATGCAGGGATTCACTACTACCTCAACATATTTCAAACTCGACTATGAACTACTCAAACCAATCCTAATACTGTTATGGAGGTCTCGCACTTGGAATTATTGTATACATTCTCACGCATGGATAGTATTCTTATTGTCCAAATTAAAATTCAAAAAATAACACTCAAAATTTTAAATATTCAAAAAAAAATAAAAAAAGATAGATATAACTGAATTGATCTAATGTGCACACATGACCACACTACTTGATATTATTGTTACCTACCACTAAGGATAGCATTATTTATAGGTTTAAATTAATATAAACAATCGATAGACATGTAGGTTTAAATAACTGCGTATTTTCACATTTGGAAAATAATATGAAACACAAATGTTGATAAACATGTTTTCTAATGGAAAAAGAAAAATAGAAAATTATTTAAAAAAAATGAAATAGAAAAATGCACTAAACAGGTCAGACAATATAATTTATTGTTGATTTTTTGTCTATTCATTTCTTTGTGAGTGATAAAGGAAACTCACACGATAATGTGTACTGAATAAATCTCAACATATATAATATTTCACAAATTATACAAAAAGTATGAAAGTTTAACCCCATGTACTCAGCCATTCCTTTTTAGGCTCTATACATTGTTTTTAAAATGTGTCTAAATGTGATTTATTACTATTGAAAATTTGGAATGGAAGAAAAATCTTTAAAAATTGATTTGAACCCAAACCCAATATTTAGTAATGGGCCTTTTCAGGTGGATACTTATGTGCCTGAAGATTGGACTTGGGTCGGGTCCATCACATGGGTTTACACTATTTTTTTTCCTAAAAAAAAAAATTGCAACATCATCTTTTTCTTTTACATACTCATAATTCTTTATAAAGTAGTATTTGTTCTATACTTTTTTAAAAAAATTTAGTCCAAAGAATCTAAGCCTCTATCACTGAAGTTTGAACCTATGACCACTGTTGCAAAAATCGCTCTTATGCGCCGGCCGGCCGCCTAGTGTATCACCATAAATAATTGGTGGTCTAGGCGGCCGGCCGGTTAGCGCTTTATTTTTTATTTAATGAGTTATTTCACTCAAAATGATATCGTTTTGAGCGAAATAACTCTAAATTGTTCAAACCATATATGTTTTTTAGGTTAATATTTAATATTTTAATATTAACTATTAAAGTATTAAGTAGTTTATAATTATCAACTCTTTAAAAAATTTTAAAATAAAGAAAATTTAAACAAATTATATAAAATAGACAGGCACCTAGCAATTTTTTAAAACATGCCTATAGCCACCTATTTTAAAATGGTAATCAAGATGCCATCACACTTCATAGTAATTGGCAAAATTGGTGTCAGAGGTGGAAGAGGCCTCTATAAGCATCATCTTAATTATATATCATAAATTTAAATCTTATACATCATAATTTAGTGGTAATTTGTTGATTACCGGAAAATAAAATCTATTTACTTGATTTTTATAACTTTGAGTGTTTAATTGAACATTTTAAAAGTTTAAGGACCTAAATGTTCCTTCATATAAAGTTCAAAGGACTATTTAATTATTTTTCCTTTATTATGAAGTTGTACTTGATAATTATTTTACCTAACACCCTAAAAAGAGACTGGGAAGAAAGGTGAGGGTCTACAAGCTAAGGGAGCCAATCTCATATGATCGAATAGCTAGAAAAAGAAAATCTAAAAGCCAAGTAACTTTTAGGTATAGCTTAATGACATCTTTGTAACTCTCAAATGGAAGGTCACAAGTTCGGGTCTATTGAAATTATTTCTATGTGCGTCAATAGATAAAGAAAGTATGTATAGACAGACACTAGATTCTAATAAATTGTACTCAGAAAAAGAAAGCTACTTAGCTAACATATATATATTTCTTTAGCCTCACCTCCAACTTGACATGCACACCTATCTTTGACTCCTTCAATTCCACCTCAGTTGACCTTTACAGAGAAAACCTGAGCGGGGAATGCATAAAAGACAACACTTCGCCGTTGCCGGGGATCGAACCCGGGTCACCCGCGTGACAGGCGGGAATACTCACCACTATACTACAACGACTGATTGATCTCTTTTATCGACTATATTAACTTATACGAGGTAACCTTTACAGAGTGAGTTTAAATTCTTATCATAAATAACTAGTAAATCTAATCATTCTTTTCATTATTTAAAGGTATAATTCATAATTTATTTCAACCATGTATAAATAAAGCACTTTTATGTAGATAATTTTGGTGGGTCTTCTAAAATTGTTGCTTGTAAGTACACTTGTTATGTATATTATTTTGTAGACACATGTATATTTTTATTTGTTAATTAGCATGTATTTCAATCGAAATAATAAATATCTTAACATTTTAGAAATTTTAGAGCTGAGCCTTAATTAGATTTTGTCAAGACTTTAACTCTATCAAGGATTTTTATTGAACATGAATTGTTTAATGGATTACAAGCAAGCTAAGAAACAACACAAAACGTTAAAGGTTTCATTCATGATTAAAAAGTGAAAATTGTTTTTCAAGGACATGGCATGAAAATGTAGCCGATTGATTATGATGTGGCTTCCAACTACGGTAAATAGCGAGTCGCACTTCTATACTGTCACCCTCAGTCATGACATTTAAGTTAAGCGACAAATCAATTACGCCAAATTCCGGATCAGAGGGCTACAATTTAATATTTTTTTGATATATAGTATTATGAAGATTACTCATTCCTTGTAGTGTCCGGTTCTATTGTCATAATTTGTACAAGCATTTTCTTTTCCGAAAGATGTGCTAAATTGCCAACACTCAATCCTCCCCCTAACAACTTTCTTATATATTAATAACTTGTCGATGTTTGCAATGCCTTGGTGCTTGTTACTTCGTTTATCAAGTATAAACTCAAAATCTTTTTAAAGAGAACTCAACTATTTTCATTACGTTAGTGTTTTTTTTTTTTTTTTAAGTGAAAAGTTTTATACTTTACGTTTTACCGTGAAATTAGGGTGAGCGTT